GTAATAGGCTAAATGTTTGAAAAATAAAGGTGTTTTGGAAGAGGAACGGAGCTTCACAATGACGTCTTACGTCGTCTCTAGATGCCTTCAAACGCATTCGGATATGTCATTATCAAAACGTAATGTTTCCTTTAATAGTGTTTATGACATTATGTTTATTAGAAATGGATAATTCCATACTGTATCGTTAAGTATCGTATTATATATTTGCCATTTTACATAAATAGCAGGTACTGCAATATGCTTCCTATCTGTCTAAACCGTAGGGGTAATTGTCACACTTCTTAAAACAACAATTGTTGATAAATATGACCCATAAAAAATATTTTTTAACTTAAGTGAACCAAAAGACTGCAATACTTTAGGTGGCCCATTTTGTTATTACATTCGACAAACCCGGCGCCCACAGGATCGTATTTATGACTGTAGTATGAAATGTCCGAGTTTACGTGGAGCAGTGAAGGCAGCGTCAGTGTTGGGGTTCTGTGGCTTGAGGACGTAGCACAGACACAGCTTCATCTACTTGAGATTACTGACGCTTGAGTCACAGTAGGTTGTTTACCTGCGTTTGTTTTATTTTAACAAAAACAACAATGGAAGGAAACGTCTGCAACATCCAGGTGCTTCTCCGGGCAGCTGAGTTTCTGGAGAGAAGAGAACGAGGTAGGCCTGTGTATTTTATGACAACTGTCAGTCTACAGGGGAGGAAGTTGCTTATTGTTAAAACAACAAAATGCACAATGAAACGACAGTAACTATGCGCGCAAAACATAACACAGGGATATAATACACAGGAATGGTTCGAGATTTCATCGAGATTCTTGCTAGAACATTATTTTAGACGATCTTCCCCATTTGACTCAGTGACCTACATATCGGTCACATCATTGTACTCAAAGGCGCCAATCTGGTCCAGTTTGAAAATGAATCCAAGCGGCGCCGACCGCTCAGTACGGTGAATGAAAGTGGGTCAGAAAAAGGCGATGCTACAAGTTTCACTCATTATTTAGGCTCTGTAGACACTGTATCAGCTGTTTAAATCGGCGAGGCTGTAAACCCGATTTTATAATAGCGAAGAAGCGGTGTGTGATGGCGCCAAAACCCAAAAACAAACCGTCCAGCAGATGATGCTGATGACAGCAGCAGAGTGCCTTTGTCCTCCTCATTTCATTCCAGCCTTGATGTTGATGATGGTAATAAATGTTTGATGTGTAGAACCGGGGTTCATTAACATTAATTATTGGAAATATTTGTATTTAACACTCTTTTGCCGTTGAATTTCGAAGCTGCTGATTGATCATCTGACTGTTTTCTGACACAGCTGTGATGTGTTTTTTCCTGCACAGAGGCAGAACATGGATATGCTTCAGTCCTGCCTCTCAGTCCAGGTCACTCTGATAAGAGGAGCAAACAGAAGAGCAAGAAGATATCTGCTGGTGGCAATAGGTGAATACATTACATAACAGACAACTGACAAGAGGGTGTGGTTTATAAAGCTTGACTTTCAGTTTTGATAAAACAACCTTTGAAACACTAACACCTCACAAACTGTCATTGCTTAAGCTGCAGTTGCATTGTCATAAATGTATATCAGAACTAAAATATCTGTCTCTTCCTGTAACTGCAGGTCAGTTCACAATGAGCTGGAAAAGAACAGGTAATTCTTGTTTTGTCATAACAATAAATAACATCACATGGTCAGTCTTATCACAGTCTTTAACACCCGCTTTGCACATGCTTGGATTAACCTCATCAATTTTTGCATCCTGTTGTTGTGTTGTGTAGAAGAGCTCAACTAAGACACTGTCTGGAGCAGCTCAAGAAACAAGTCCCTCTCTCATCTGACTCCATGAGGAACACCACCCTCAACTTGCTGAGACGAGCCCAGCTTCACATAAAGGTAGATACAACATCCCTGCATTGTACTGATAAGTGGTTTTGGTAGAGAGCACAGCATTGGGACAGTGAAATGAACCCTCGTATTGTTGTTTGACTTACTCTGCCTTGGATGTCAACTAATAAGATTCACCAGATATAGTGACTGCGTCTGCTGACAGTGCTTGGTGGTCTCCAGGTGCTTATCCCAGCCTGGCTGTGTCCAAGGTTTGGTCTGCAGCTCACTGGTTTCTCTCTCTGCCTTTTCATTTCAGAAGCTGCAGGAGCAGGATGAGCGCGCAGAGAAACTGAAGGGCCGCCTGCGCTGGGAACAGAGAGAGCTGCGGGTTCGGCTCGAGCAGCTGCAGAGAGGCACAGAGAGGATGAGGAACAATAGTCAGGGCTCAACCATGTCCTCTGAGAGGTCGGACTCCGACAGAGGTAGGTCTCTCAGACACAAGAAGCCTCTTACCACAGCCTATTGGTCATGACAATGCCAAGACAGTTTCACAATGGGGCATGTAAATATGAAGACAGGTTTTGCTTACTGTAATTATTCTTCCTTCCTAATGCGCCTCAATTGGCAGTGATGGGGGGACAAAATCCACAGCACTCATTCAGTGCAAAATTGTAATTTAAAGTTTATCTCAAGCTTGAATGAGTTTTGTTTTTAATTTTTTTTATATACATATGGAGGTGATGGTAGACAGATTTTGTTACTTATGGACAGAGCCAGGCTAGCTGTTTTCCCCTCTCTCCAGTCATTGTGCTAAGCTAAGCTAACTAGCGGCTGGCACTAACTTCATATTAACTGTATTCTTTTCATGGAAATTAAACTGGCTAACAAAACAGCAGCTTCATTAAAAACACATTCTGTGTGTCTCCTGAAATTTTTTAGTTTCGACACATTTTTGTCAATCATTATGCACAGTCAATATAGTATTAGATTTACATACATCATTTACACTGATCTGGCTGCAGCTGAGCTATAATTGATAATTCTCATTTAGCATATCACGATGACATGATCTTAACATGTCATAACCTACCAAATTCAGTTGCCTTATTAAATAATTCAAAGCAAAATGTAACCATAATATTGTATTTTATCCTCTTGAACAGTTTTGCTGTAATGTATAATAATGGAACACAATTAATTGAACACCAGTTGGATTAATTTTATTCTGCATCTCCTGTGCATTTGCCACATTGTGATAAATATCAATGTTAAACATATATTGTTGTAAGTTGATGCTATTTTGAATAATATGACCCAACCCTAGTTTAAGTGGGTTAAACATGTGAAAGGTGAATTTCCTCATATTTACTCATGCTAATGGATTTGATCTTTGGTTACATTACAGAGGACGTGGAGGTTGATGTGGAGAGCATCGTGTTTGACTGTGTTGACTCTGACGGACTGAACATTACACACACTGACGCAGACCACTGTTACTCCAGCATGGACAAAGCCTGGCTATGACAGCAGTAAACCTAAGTACCTCACTTAATGCCACCGGATGGAGAGGAAGAGGAGAAAACATTCCAAAAACAAGCAAATGGAGGATGAGGGACAATGAAAAAATATGTTACTGAGCAACTGAACACTTGTTTTTTGTTTTTTCTAACGGAAGGAGTAAGTTTTGATGTTCTCCTTTCAAATTATGTCAGACTACAAGCTAAACAATAATGTTCGTTATGAATGAGCTGTGTCCATTTGCACTGAATAGCAGTTAAGATCACTGGGCTGGGATGGATGTAACATTACGCATATATATATTTTGGCATCGACCATAAATGGCTTTTTTTTTTCCTAAGCCATGAGGTGTAACTTACAGTGATTATGTAAGTTTTCTAAATCCAAATAAGGGCTTTTTATTCAAAACTCTTAACTTATTCTTTACTACAGTATGTCTATACTGAATTCTGCCTTAAATCAGATTTGGTCTAGTAGTCAATACAGCTTCTCTTTAGCACTAAGTTCATATTTCAGTAATGTCATGTGTAGCATGCACTTATACAATAATCTGTGCTATGTTTTGTATTATTGTCCTATTATGTAAGTTCAGTCATGTGTTTTGTTCTTTTTCTTCTGTTGCACAAAACGACCACACATTGCACTTGTTTTTATCTCAGAAGGATTGTGGGTATATCCAAATGAAAAACAGTGAAGAGAAATTAACTGGTCACCTTTGCACATTGATATGTGGCATTTACATAACCATGCCAAATATTAATTTAGTGTATTTGTACACAATTCAGTCTGTGGTTAAGTGCAAGAATTTCAATGCCTGTGTGAAAGATAAATTGTGAGCATTGTGGGTTGGGGGCTCCTTGCACAGATCAAATGAGTTTTCTTCACTGCTTATATTCTTTGCAGTGTCCATTAACACAACTGTACACTTCGCTGCTTGTGCATTTGTCAATTAAAATGTTAATTTTGCATGCACCAAATTCACCACAGTCAAGCAGGTAATGTCTACTTGTAATGATTATGCAATTAATGCTGTATTACAAGTATCTATTCTATTCACTGCTATATATTTAATAACTGAAGGTGCTTTTTCCCTTCATTTTTGTATATGCAAGATGCCTTATTACCTTTTTCATAGTATGTATGCATTCATCTGTCTCTCCGCCCAGTAATATTATGTAGCATTTTGTACTGGTGTAATCTTTTTTTTTATTTTTTATGAATAAATATTTTCTATATTTATGTGCTGTTTATGGTTATTTTACAAGACCTCTCGCTTTGAAACTCAGAGGTTCTTCTCCTTCCCATCCTGTCAGATTTGTCCTGTAACCCCTTCCGGGTGTCCCGTTCCCCAGGTTGGGGTCCACTGATTGAACTATACAGAGATACCACTTATTGTGCGAAGTCATCACAGCATGATGGTTACAAATAAACTGTCCATTTATTGACAAGCTGATATTTAATTGATACAGCAAGAGCACATTGTTGCATGGTTTGTATAGTCAGACCTAAGCTGAATGTACAATACAAGGCCATTTTTGTCTTTGTACACACATTCTAAATTTAAGTGACACTGAAATCCATTGCAACCAGATCATACCACAATATCATAAGTGCCAAGTGAGCATTTCTTCTCAAGCTATGACTGCCAATAACACGTACCCTTCAGTCAATGAACTTCAACCTGAAGCAATCAGTCTTGGTTGGACGATTAAGGTGTGGGTGGGTGAACTGAACTAAAACATAACATGATTGTAACTAAACAACAACTTAAGTAAATCACACACATGAATTTGAAATAATAAGATTCTGTATGTTAATCTTAGCTTCTGGACAAGAAGCTGATAATAATATGATGCTACTACAAAACAACATATGACATACTCGTAAAGATACAGAGTAAAAAGCAAACACTGTTGATGGGCACAGAGGTTGAGCAAAGGTCTGAGGAACAGTATCAAGGTTGGCAAAGTGGTTTTATCATTTTATGGCACACAGAGCCACATCTGACCATTCCTTTCTAAGATCCCTATCTCTGGTAAATACTGAGATGATCTGGTTTTTAATGTACAATAAACTCAGTGTGGCACGGACAGGGAGGCTGGAACAGGCTCTTGAACCCAGCTCAGGCCTTTTATGGTCCACCCACCATTTCATTTGGATGCTACCTCACAGAGGTGTCTACCCATGACTGGGATCAGTTTGTCTTACCCTGATGCCTGACTGAACAATGAGAGGGGGTAAAGAAAAATCTGTCCTAGTGTCAGTGGCTGCAGAACCAGTGATTCATGAGGCTCGTCACACATATTGTTTCTTCTGGGCGTGTGAGGCGAGGTCTTTGGCTTTCTCCTTAGCTGCCAGTGCTGTCTCTCTTGCCCGCTCTGTAGCTGTTTCTGCTAGGGTTCTTGATGGAGTTTCACCTACAGAAGAAAAAACATATTGACCTTAATTTGACTGATCTATGTATTTATGTAGGTCATGAATACCAATGCTATTCCCTAATAGTTTGGAATTGTCTCATACAAACAAACAAACAAACAAACAAACAAACAAACAAACAAACAAACAAACAAACAAACACTTAAGTCAGTGTCCAGGGTTTAAACAGAATATAGGTGGTGGATGCAGATGGATATACTTAAAATAATATAATAATGTATTTTTCCTATGTATTCAATGCCTTTACATTTGTTTTGACAGAACTATGTTTTGGATTTGACCAACTGAAAATTATCATTTCCAAACAGCTGATTTTCTCGAATGACTTAGTTACAGCAAAGAAAGAGATACTTTAACTTTATAAGAAAAAGTTACACTTTTTATATTTACTTTTAAGTTATACTTTACATCTACTAACCTGAATGTTAACAGCCTAGCTAGCATCAGAGCACTTGTGCTTCTATATCATTCCTTTTCCATGGCATCATTCCACCAATTAATGCAATGCAATGCACTAATTATTGGTGTTTTAACTACATCAGATGTAAAATTAAATGTAAATACAGATGGATAAGGAATGATTCATTTAATGATGATTTACCTTGCATTTTGGCCAGCACATACTCAAACCCTTTCATGGTCTTTGTAACACTGGTCTTGAACCTTGCAAGGCCAAATTCCTGGAGAGAGACAGCAGTTAATCAAGACACAAAATACCTCTTAGAGAATAATGTGTCAGCAACCTATAACTCATATCGCCACATATTTACTTGTATACACTCAGAAGGTGACAACAATCAATAAATAAATCATTCTGATGTCATAAATCATTTAGTAACTTGGCAGACAACTTCAAGCATTCAGCTGTTGCATCTTCACACTTAGTATTATGTTAGCAATTACAGAATGACACATAGGTGGGTGATTCTCCCTTTCAGATGCCCCACACCATTTCCCTGTGCTGTTACGTAGTGTGGTGCTCCACTTTGCTCTACTGACCTGAATAGCTCTAGAGAGCCCATAGACATTGGAGGAGATCCAAGCTTCTCTTTTCATCTCTGTCCAGCTGCCATTCTCAGGGTTAATTCGGTACTCGCACCGCTCTTCCACAGACTGGAACAGAGAGCGAAAAACAAACAAAAGCAACGTGAGACCATGTTATTATTCTGCGCAATACTGAGTGCAAATAGATGCAAACACTAATGTACCATGAGCCGAGCGTGGCTGATGTTCCATGTGAATGTGGTCATGGTCCGTTTCTGAGGGTCCACAATGGAGTCCTCAATAATGTACGCTGAGCTGGCCATGTGCTTTGGAAGGTACCGCTCCATCCAGCGAGGCGATCGGCTAGTTTTGGTCAACAGACGTCTGGAAATGAGGCAGTTGGTTGGAGTAACCTCTCGGAAAATGATGTCCTCAGTCAAAACATGGTTACTGTGGGAGAGAAGGAAATGCTATGGATCAAGACCTGATATAAAACTTGCGTGTAGAGTTGAAACCAATGATTATTTTCGTTCCAAATGGTTATGTTAATTATTTTACCAATGAAATGGTTAATCATCTAATCTACAATATGTCAGAAAACAGGAAGAAAAGTCAATTTGTGTTCAAGAGGCCTCAAAATGTAAAAGTTTTAAAACTGATTGCTTTGTCTAATCAATAGTCAGAAACCTGAAGACATTCAATTTGAAATAACAAAACTGAAAAAAACCCCAGCAAACTCACAAATAAAGAAGCTGAAATCCGCATTTTCTTTAGCACTTAAGCTTGATAAAAGAAACAATAAATTGATTATCAAAATTTTCTGTTGCTCGACTAATCAATAGGGCTGTAACTAACAGTTATTTTCATTGTTGATTACTCTGCAGATTATTTTCTTGATTACTTTCTTCTTCTTCAAGTTATGTTTAGTCTAGAAAATGTAAGAACATAATGAAAATGTGAATCACAATTTCATGTATCTACTTAACTATTGTATCACGAAGTCAGCAAATATTAAAATCTGAGAAGAAACCATCTAAATTTTTGCTTAAAAACAAATAACTAATAATTGTATCTAAACTGTTGTCAATTTATCAATTGAGTAATTATTTCAACTGCTGCATTGTATAATGTCACATCACTGCAGTCTGGATAAATACCCAACTTCACCTCAGTGGTGGAAGTGGTATTGACATATTTTATTGAGTAAAGTAGCAAAACTATACTGTAGAGGTGCTTAATTACAGGCAAGTGGCATAAGACATAAAAATATTTAACATTAAATGTAGTTAAAGTATTAAAAATAAAATAACTCACTAGGTGAGATTAGAAGGGAACCTGTCATGAGTATTATTGTATTATGCTATTACTATTACTCATGCATTAAGGTGTAAGTGGGATTTTAATGTTTTAGCTGATTGAGGTGAAACTAATTTAACTGCCTTCTATACTGTTGGATAGTATGTAACAGTGTCACATTATATCAGTTCATAGGTTTTGAATGTAAAACTATTATATGATAGTTTGTCTGTAACAGTGTCACATTATATCAATTCATAAGTTTTGAATGTAAAACTATTATATTCAAAATAACTAGCAGACATATCATCAGATATTCAGCAGTAATAGCTAAGGAATATTAAATACTTAATAAATAAGCAAAGCACACTGCTTGAGTAAAGTATTTCATTACTTTCCACCACTGCCTAACCTTCTTAGTATACACATTTTAAGTCAAAATCTCGGTGCTATTTGAATAAGGATGTTCAGCGATGATCAAAGGTGAAAAATGTATGAATACATCCACTGCTCTCATTGTGCTCACCTGTAGGGGTTGGGATATCGTTGCCAGAAAGCAACACAGACTTGGTCCCAGGTGCTTTTGAGTAAATCTGCGCAGCAGAAATATTTCACCATTGTTCCCTCAGTTTACTCTGGCAATATCCTGTGCAGATCCAGAACAAACAAAACGTGTTAATTTGCTACGTTTGTTCAGCTAGTTTTCAAACGACCCCCGAGAACAAACACGGTGACAGCTAATGGTAGACACACTGAATCCAGGGTGGTGTACGGATGAGGAAATGTAAATTTTTGTACTCTAATGTGACAACAAGCAAAACATGTTATTTACAGAAAAAAGCGACAACGACTAAACGATAGGATTTAAGTTTGTTTAGATATGATGAAATATGTAAAACAAGTCATGGCCGTTAACAGAGACACACAACTTCACGAACTTTCCAGCTAAACGCGACATGACAGCTGTCAGTAAAATAAATACTAAAAAAATAATCATCATTATTTCATGAATACCACACCGGGTCTCCTGGTGTGACTAACGACAGCCTATGTGGCTAACACCACGAACACAGACTAATGAATATTTAATCAGTCAGTGGGTAATATCAGCTATAACGTTACTGTCACATTTGTCACGTCCGCACCATAGGTCCGCACTACTTAGCTTCCTCGTTAGCATAAGCTCGCCTAGCATGAAGCAAACGCCATGAATGAATGGCATACTACGACCCAGACATTTCTCTGAACGACATTCAACGAGCAAACTCATTTCAGAGGCAAAGACGGTTACCTGTATGGCGACAGTATTCAGAAGACAACTATTTGCATTTTACACTCCTATCGGGATGAACTTCACCGGGCAGCCACCCACAATTCATCGCAACCGTCTGGGGCTAGAGAGAAGGTCAAGCATCACGACATATCCGGTAGGCGGTGCAAGTGTAATACTCACTTTGAACACTAGAGGGCAGCAGGTGACTGTATAAATGCCGCACACTGTTTAACAGTATCGGTTATCTACAGCGTGAATTTCGATAAGATTTTTTGGGGTGACATGTCGTCTAATGTTATCAAAACCAATGTAAGTTGCATGTAAGGCTCCTTTGAAAGTGCACCACTTACAAAACCTAAAATTTCTCTTCAACTCAAAGGTTTAAAAAAAAACAAAAAACATAATGATTGTTAATCTGACCTTGTATTGCTATTTTTGCAGATACATGCCTTTAAGCACACTTTAAGCACAGTGGAGGAGGATAGATAGATAATTTATTCCGCTTTGCTAAAATCAACCCTGAAAACATCTGTAGCCATGGGTCGAAGCTTAATGTTTGTCTGCTGGTAGTACTGTTAAAGGCTTAGAGCTTCTATAATAATCTACAGCACATAATGGAATATAGGCTAAACCATGAAATCAGTAATGTGGGTGTCAAGAAGAACCAGCAATAAAAATGCAATAGGTATTTTCTCTGCCTTGAAATGAATCACACTGCGTACTCTACATTTGTCTGATTGTTCATTAAATGCTTTATTGGCTGTTATATGGACCCTCTGGTTTTTGTTCTGAATGTCTGAAAGTTTATGTGTAGGGCTGTTTAACCTCACATTTGTATATTAAAAAAATGCCTCAATCGCTTCTATTTTCCCTCTGTTTTCACAACTATAGATGGATTTTCCAGCTGTCAGGTTCAGGGAGTTGAAGTTTATTTTCCCGTATTACTCTTAAGTATGCAGAGTATATCCACTAAGTGGTACCCCAATAAGTTTTGACTAGTCTACATATTGTTCAAGCAAATGTCTCTTTATTTGAAATGGAGGCACGAAACATAATTTCTTCTGAATGTCAAATTAACTCTGGGAGTTGTGTGTACAGTAGGGGCTTGATGTGTGTGCTCAGAGGCCCAGTCATTAATCAGTTAATTCATAAATGTTCATGTTTCCCTTATTAAAAGACCACCAACAAAGGACACTTTATCAGCTCAGAGTAATCATTATGAAACTGCATGACATCTTCCGAATCCCCCTTTTTCTATATATCCTCAAAGCAGCTGCTCCCATTCTGTGATGAAGATATCATGAACTTGTTCTCACTTCTCACACTTCAGTGGTTTTCGATCCCATTCCTTTGGACACAGAGTCCTGCTGGTCCATATGATCAGGAACAGCTGGTTGCCAGGTGAATACAATTAACTTCCTGGTTGGACAGAAAATCAGCAGTAGCCTTCTCTGGATTCCTTGGATGTGGACTGAATGTTTAATCTGCTAGAACACTGTTATTAATTAAATAAACACATCATTTGGATTAATTAAGTGAAATTCATCCAAATGTTTTGAACAACCAAAAAAATAGAAAAACAAGTGTGACAAATTAAACTTGTTCTCACAGTGGCAATAACCACCAGCTTCTCTTCAGTAAGAATGAACACATCAGTAGCCTGAGATAGGCAATGTATGCGTGGAGAGCATAATTAATTGGACATTACTTACCAACAAGAGCTCTGGATCAACAGGAAACACGTTATACATTGTACCAAGTTACTTAACACCTTAGTAAACATCTTCAACACATATTTGAATACGTTCAACAAATGAATTTTCACTAGTACCATTCACAAAGGAAAGAAAAGCCTTGCATAAAGCAATATACATGCAAAGCTTTGAGTCCTCTCCAGTGACATAAACACTCAAGCTCAGACCATTCAAGTCAAAAGGCTACTTCTGTACCACAAGCACCACAAACCAGAGGTGCGTTCATTGTGTTCAATCATATTCTACAGGCTTTTTAAAATTTGTTAATCTCACACAGCAGTGGGAGGATGTCCACCATTACGACCATTCAGAGTCAACCCTCTTATGGAGCGTGTCCTGAACGAGCCCTCAGGGTGGAAAGAATCTGGCTTATCCTCACAACGGAAAACCATAAGGAAGCCATTCCGGTAGTTTTTATTCATCCACCCATACAGGAGAGGGTTGGTAAAAGTCGAGCACATAGCCACAATATGGAACACTGTGTATATCAGTTTGTACTCCTTAAACCTAAGCACCAGGTCCAGATCACTGGCCAGCTGAAACACATGGAACGGAAGCCAGCAGATAGCAAACACCACCACCACCAGCGCTAACATCTTGGTGGTCTTTTTGCGGCGATTGATGCTGTCGTTGCGGCTGGATGGGCTGATGTGATTCTTCAGTTTGACCCAGATGCAGATGTAGGCATAGCTAATGATGGCTAAAGGAATAATGTACTGTAGGAGCAGCATTGAGAGGCTGTAGATGACTCCGTCCCTGCTGGTCCCGTGAGGCCACTTCTCAGAGCAGACAGCGATACGCAGGTTGATGGAAGGTATCTCTTCATTGCGGTACTCTCTGAAGATGGCCAGGGGTGCTGCCAAGACAGCAGACATAGTCCAGGTGAATGCCATGATGAGGAAGCTGGAGTGCCACGTGAGGCGCCGACCAAGGTGGAAGATGATACAGCGATAACGCTCCAGAGCAATGACAGTCATGGTAAGGATGGATACATGCACGCTCAGGGCCTGGGCAAATGGCACCATGTGGCACAACACAGCCCCAAACTTCCACTCATCTAACAGAGTGTAGACCAAAGTGAAGGGCAAGCACAGAGTGTTCACTAGGAGGTCTGCCAGGGCCAGGTTAGCTATGAAGAAGTTGGTCACTGTTCGCATGTTTCTGTAGCGAATAATCATGTAGATGACAAGAGCATTCCCCAGCAGCCCCAGCAGAATGATTAGGGAGTATGCCATTATCAAGGTGATCTGGACTCCAAGGTGCTTGGTGATGTCAGTGTGGAAACCAGGTGGGTGTAAACCCATGCTGTCGTTAAGTAGAACCGCGGAATCGGTCTCACCAGCATCCCCTTCTTCTGTGCTATTGAATGTGTCTGGTGGGCTCATTTTTTTGGATGATGCCAGATCGAGGCTGTGCAGACACCTGAGCAGAGAAAACACATAAAATAAAGTCATTGTTTGAGTGGGGCCAGGCAGAATATTATCCATGCAAGCTGTATAAGAAAATGACAAAGGTATTCACTGTGAAAAACACTGAAGCTTCAGGTGTTTATTCATTTCCACCTTTTCTCTCCAATTTGGAATTTCCAACACCCCTGATATGCATTTCTTCTTCACTGCCAACTCCACTGTGGCAAACACATGGTGTCACCAGAAGGGTAAAACACGTGTCTAACAACCCACATCTAAATATGGATCCAAACCAACCAGTAGGAGTTATTAGTGCAATCAAGAGTACATGATCCCTCACTGGCTTCCCATTGCCAAAGATTGCCAGTTGTGTCTTTGGTGATTGACCGCTGCTCAGGGTGTTTATTTAGTGTAATACCTTCCCTTTCATACTGTACCTCTGTCACCCAGAGAAATAAACTGTTAACATATTTAGATACACAAAATGCCATTATTAGCATTGTACTTAAAATCCTGTCATTTACTTTAAGGGTCTATTTACTTCATCAGCACTGAATGAACTGCAAGAGCTTTGACTAAATCCAACTTTTAATGAAATATGACTAAACAGAACTGATACACATTCACACACACTCATTTCATTTCTCCTCGTATCACCTGAAAAGAGTGCTTTGCATTGTAAAGCTCATATTGTTATTAAAGCCATCTAGTATTCAACTTGACAGCTTGACTGTGCAATTTAGAAGATAAGACACTTCTCTAATGCACACATCCTAATTATAAGAACAATTGCCCAAGATTGCATTGAGGAAGGAGATGTTCTGAAAAGCTAAGAAAATGAAATATGCATTTCAGTTAGATCATAATCAATAGAAAATCAGTTCTTTTGTTCAAACCCCCCCCCCACCCCCCCACCCCCCAAAAAACAGACCATATTTCTCCCTCATACTATTCATATTGAAAATTCATTACCAACAAGTATTCATTTGGTTACAGCATGCAGCGTTTCCAAGGAACATGAACACCTGTGCCATTATGAAGGCTAAAGGAAAACGATGGAGGAAGCAATGTGATCAACCAGTTCAAAGCAACATCATTAGAGCCACAGGCTGCTCTCACACAAAGTCTGAATCTCATAAAGGGTATATTGTGTGGTAAGCCTTTTTTCAGACCAAAAGACTGGTGCTGGCCCGGGTTACACAACTGTATTTAAGTCATGTCATTTCAATATACTATCTGTAGTTCATTATCTTATAATTTCTGTCAGTTTTCTGTGAGAGTCTGAGAGCTCTTGCTGAATACAGAGAACATTTTGTTATGACATGTATAAGAACTACTGTCAATGTCACTGTCAATGATTCTTACTCTCATGAAGCAGATGAATGCTAATTACATTAAGTGACATTAGACTCAGCAAGTGGCCTTTGACAAATCCACAATACTCTCATTTTAAAGGATTTCTTTTTAAGTGTTAAAAACTGGAAACATTTGTCGTTTTTTTGTGTTTGCTTGCACATTTTTTTCATGGCTAACACTCAACATTTTCACTATAAATAGACAGACCATTTACTGAGAGGCCATCTCTTTGGTGACAGACACTCTCTGGTTGCTTTGGGTTTGGTCCTGTGGACTGTTTCTTGACAGATCATTGAACAGACTTTAGTTTACTGACATCATTGCTTTTTCATTATTTTATTAACAATGAAACTCATGAATATTTCAAAAATATTGACTAAATAAAATATTTTGTGGCATTGTTGTGTCGCTTTATTGTCATATTAATCTTTCTGTAACATGAATGATATTGTCCTCAGCAACTGAGTTCTAGCAACAAAAGGTCTACACAACATGTGTGTGTGTGTGTGTGTGTGTGTGTGTGTGTGTGTGTGTGTGTGTGTGTGTGATGGTGTGCATTTCCTATAAATAAAAGCCCTTCATACAGGCTTTGAGTTTCTGAACATTTAAGTACACAGTATAAAATGTTCAGGTGTGAGGACAACTACAGCGCTGCTCTGCCAACGAAACCAAAACGCATGTACAACCTGCCTTTACCCTCTGTCACCAGGGCACGCAGCCTCACAGTGGCACACAGCAGAGATTCATCAGGCAGGCTGCAGGCGACATGTGCATTTTACCAAGCATCGGTAATTTGTCAAAGCACCCGTTTTTGATCAGGTAGCCTCGTCCTTGACTTTAGGCAAGCTTGTGCCCCTGAGGAATCTGTTCCCTTACACCTGCTGGAGCAGAAAGCCGCAATACAACCGGATTCTAATGAACTCTATGCACTGCCGTCGGATTATGATGAGGTACCTGATTCCCAATCAAATGTGCATTGATGCTTCGTTCGTGCGTAATTTGTCGCCATTTGTTTAAGTTACTGGATAGTGCGCATTCAAATACCTCCAAGTGAGCTTTCTGAGCTTATTCAGCCGATGAGACAGGTGCACAAATAACACAAATAGTCTGCTGTGGTTCGTAATTTGGACACTTGTCCATCCTCCTTGTCAAAGGTTTCTCTCATATCCAAATTACGCACATACAGTGTAGTAGTTCAGTAACCACAGGTTGCTGTCACAAAAGAACAGAGATTAATACCTTGCACCTCAGGTTTCTGTCACCAAAACTAGCCTCGCAATATCCATTCAAAGTCTAAATGAACGCTATCTACATATTAATGGACTCACCTTTCCCCCTATATCTCCTTTTGCAAACGGGTCCTCACTCGAGAGTGGCGTGAAACAAGGGGGGAAAATCCCGAAGCTCCTCCCAAGCGAAGCGTCTAGTGCGCATCTTGTGGCTGGACTGTGCGTTCCTGTGGCAGGTCTACAGGATTCAGTGTGAGCGTCCACATCAGCGCTGCGAGATCTGCGCAGGGATTGATCTTTGTAGATCACAGTTTAAAGAATAGCATCTGTGTTATTTCATTTCCACTGCATTACTCAGTAAAGAAATGCCATTAAATATCTTCTGAATGTCTTCTGAAGTGCCAACGCAGCGTTACGTCACTAAGTTTATTACATTTTGCTGTTTTATCTCCATTTATCATTCACTTTATTTCCAGTAAAGCGTTTCCACTTTATTACTTAAAGCCTGCTGTTTCTTCCTCTCATTCTTGTGAACAATTTTGAATGGACTTTGGAACAATTATGGGTTGTAAAACAAATCCTCATATTGGCCTATTGCTTTATTTCAGGCTCCAGGTCACTGTCACCACTGATCAAATTTCTGTAATCAGAAATCTGTAACAGTATTAAATCTGGGCTGCATGTGGCACAATCTCATATTGTTGTGAAATAAGCTATTGTCAGTTAACTGCAGATTTAGATTTAGTTGCTTCTCTGTGAAGACAATGAAGACACAAATCTCTCACAAGATCATTTCTGTGAGCTAGCATGATTTTCTAACAGAATTAAGTTCTTGTTGAATTAATTGAACTGCACATACTGAATTCTGCTGTGGCTAATGAATTCAAGTACATCTGAATATGGTGCCAATTTTAATCAGAATTTTAGTATTTAGAGTGTGCCATTTGTGAAAAGACTGTTCAGGACATTTCCTCAAGGCAGATTTTTTTTTTATGGTGATAAAACCATATAAGTCTGCAAAGAACATTATAGGACATCTCCAATGGAAAGTTAAAGGTCAAATAAAACTAACTAGGCTTTAAGCAAGAGTTACCTTGAAATAAATTTAGAGTGATGAAAAATATTGAAACAATAAAAATGAACATGTTGCATCTCCCATGACTCTGTTTGAAGTTAATTCACCTTATCAGACCTGCAGCACAGACATGTGGTGGGTATGTCATCAGATAATAGGGAAGGACCTGAAATACACTGTCACTTGAAATTAGACGTAAACAAAGGAGCTTTAGTCTGGTGGAAAACCATTTCCATCCTCTATGAGAATATTTTGTGAATTTGATAACAGAACAGGAGATCATGTTTCCCTTGAGCCTCGTTTCTGCACTTCCCCTGAGCCGTTAAGAGCTGCCTTTCACCGTTCCAGTGCCGATTTATTGTTCAGGGAGCAACGTTGGAAGAAATCCCTGAATCGTCTTGGTGGGATTTTTTTGATGATGCAATAATTGGTGCACTGATTGACTCAGCCACATAGATTACCCTTATTGATTGGGTCAGGCTGCCTCTCCACCTCGATTTATTATTTCAATTATGAAGGCCACGCCTCTGCTTCCACATGCACTGGGTCACTCGGCAGTCAAGGTTGACAGCTCTCTCAGACTTGTATGTTTTCCTGATAAAGGATTTCTGTCCTTGCTACAAACTTGCTTATCGCCAACAAATTCTGAAAAGTGGTGAAAAGGTTTTACAGTGTGGCCTTGCAGAAAATTCTTGTTCGCTTCAATCTCTCTTAGTTTAACCACTTCTTTTAGAAGTAGCTCTTTGCAGCATCATTTGTTTTCCTGGGCTTATTTGAATCTACATGCACCTAATTAGTGAGCTCTGTAGGCTGGGGATCCTGTATTTACAGTCCACTGCCCTCAATCTGATCACTGTTTCTGTTCAGCTCCTCTGAGAGCACTGGTGCCAGTGATCTGATCAGAGGCCATGGCGTCCTCACGTCGCACAGTGTACATTTGTGGCTGTTGTTCCCATCTCTCTGTGTGTCTGTATGTCTTTCTGTGTGTGGGCTATGTGAATTATTGAATGTGGGAGTGAAGGACATACAAAGTCAGGAATCCCATGCATTCCTCCTCCATTTTCCTTTTACTCTTGGATTTTCTCACGGAGGTCAAACCTGACAGGTGGAAAGTGTAGCCTAGTGCAGATAACAGCCTTTAATTCTTCAGTGATTAAAAATATTGATTTAAAAGCATGGAGAGTCTGTGAAGTCTTCAAATTGGATTCCTTGGGTAAACATTCGTGTGGGATGCTCCACATATTGGCTACCTCTACTTTTCATTTATTCTAAGACAAGGACGACGCATTTAGGAAAGTAAAAATTATCTAGGCCTGATACTGTCTCTGATCAAGTTGTATGACAATATATACAACATAATACATAACATTATACAACATATAGGCTTCAATATAATATAACATAATATAACACCATGGACAGTCAATTTAGATGTCCCTTTAAAACGTATTGTACGTTTAGCTATGCCTCATAAACAGTATAGCTACCAGTGATGACACCGAGGCCCTTAATATTGTTTCTGGTGAAATTGGGGGTTTTAACAACATGAAATTATTGATAGTGGTTATGAGGTAAGTCAATTACAGGGTCTTTTTAAAAAAATCAATTTTACACATGGACTTCAGTTTCACTTGTTACAGAGAATAATTCCCAGCCTATGAAAACAGCTGTATAGAGCTTTTTACAGTATATTTTTAAAAAAAATCACTTGCAGTTTGGGCTTAGAGGCGACAAAATTGTTGCAGAAAGAATGTTTTACAAACTGGGCGAGTTTGTAAGACATGAGCAACTGAAGATCACATGAAAGTCATTACTGAGCTGCATGATGGGAAATGTAACATCCTGCTTAACCTGTAGCCTACCAGAGACTTAAAGTCATGGATAACGCTGTCTCTAATCCTTCGATTTTAACCATCCTTTTAAAAACATACATAAACATATTGCATGTCTGCCAACTTTATTGAAGTGTAATACTAAATTACCATAGTGGCCCTTTAAACCACAGTATAAAGAAATGATTGAGTATTTCTTCACCAGAATTATATCCTTGAAGCATATATTTGTGGAGATGGTCTCGTGTTAAGGCACAATGAAGGAAGTGAAAATGCTTAATCACAGTGGACTTCAGGCTGTTCCGTAAATATGCAACAGTGAGGAAATGTAGCTTTTGTTTTTAATGCACTCATTTCATAAAGTGACACAGGAGAGGAGTAAAGTGGAGGAGAGAAAAAGTAGCTGGCTATATTTACACACATCCTGATTGCTGCGTGAGACAGCTGGACCAATCATAAGTGGGGTTGTAGTTGGCACATGCGCAGTTACTCGTGAACGTCCTGTTCCCAAACATCAGGCGAAAGGACCAGAGCGCTGCAGAGGAGGCATTTCCCCGAACAACAGACAACGTAAGTTCATTAAAGTGTTACATAAACGTTGAATGTAGTCCCCACGTCAAATATTTGATATGGTTTTGCTTTATGTTGATGAAAAAAGCTGTTTACTGGCTGTCATACGTAGCTAAACAATAGCAGTGTAAAAACCAAACAAACCGTCTGACCAAACGTTGCTTTCACAATACAAATCACAAGCTAGCTTACAGAGTCCCGTGATATATCACCTGGTTTCTATGGTTTTCATTTGAACTGCCTGTCTGGTGCTTAGTATTAGTCCAGGGAGAAAGTGGAGAGTTATTTACACCAATTCGATACAAGTGTTGAACTTCAGATGGGAGGTGCGTGACCAGGATTCAGTGTTAGGTAATGATTTACCTGAACAACAACAGGAAGCAAGTGCTGTAGAATGTGAACTTTGTAATTAGTTTATTTAATTGCTGCTGACTTAGACAAACATGTCGCCCTGTAAACTGTCTTCATAAAGGGAAGGGAGTGTTCATCTTCCCCTCTTTCTCTCTTCCTCCAGGCTTTTACTTTCATTTCCTCAGACTGCAGAGGGAAGGCCCTGTCACCATGGCTGCTGCTGCCGCCGCTCCTTGTGTTGTTTCATCTACCAAAGGCAGCCTAAGAGAGGATCTGACATGTGCCATCTGCTGTGACTTGTTCCGGGAGCCTGTCATGTTGGCCTGCATGCACCACTTCTGCAAACCCTGCATCTCCAGGTACTGGAGAGGAACACAGGGGCCTGTAACCTGTCCTCAGTGCCGAAAGGAGTTCAGCTGTAGGAATTTTCAAACCAACTACCTAGTCGCAGCCATGGTGGAGAAGGTCAGGGCCACGACCTCGGACACTTACATCCAAAACCTAAAGGTGAGTTCACTGCTTTCAATCTCACCTCCACTGCAGGTTTGACCATGATCCTGTTGGCTTCCTTCCATGCCTTTATTCTTGGTCATCTGGAAAGTATTGTTAAGTGTTACACAATCTTAAACAAATACTTGTTTGCTCCAAAGTAAACTGATCGATTAAAAATGAGCGTTCTGTAACCTTTGAGCTATATAAATTGAATACAATTGTATTCTATGTTTGAGTTAACATCTGTGCTCATATCACTTAAGTTCCACCCTGAACTTATCTCACTGGAATTGCAGGACCAAGTTCACTCTTCACTCCCTTTATATTACTTTGTATGACAGGATATATGACTTAACTACAGCAAGGCAACCAAAATACTCTGCCAGAATGTGTAATGCAATCCTGCAATAAATCCTATCTTTGTCATTTTTGTTATATTTAAACATTTACATACTGTGTCAGAGAGGTCTTTATTCAACTTTATTGACATTTTTAAAGGAATAGTTTTACTTTTTGGGAAATATGGTCACTCACTTTCGTGCAGAGTTACATGGGAAAATACTGTGGGGGTCCTAGAGTCTGTGACTTTTCAGCAGCTGTTCCAGCAGTTGATTAACTTATCTTGGCATAAAGACTGGAAACAGGGTGAAACAGCTAGCCTGGCTATGAGCAAGAGTAATAAAATCCAACTACAAGTACCTCTAAGATTCAATTATTAACATGTTATATCTTGTTTGACTTATCTAAGCAAAAACATAAGTATAAAAACAAGTGGCAGTTTTACGGGGCCTTATGTGTCAGACCATTTCTTGGTCAAGCACAGTCCTGTACTTCCTGTAGTCTCCACTGGATGTTGGGTAACCTCATGGTGCTGACAAGACGGCAGGAAAGCAAGAAAACACATCTTAATACGTTATACTATTAGATAGTTGTATTTGTTTCTGAACACTCTCTCTCTCTGTGTCATTGTCTCTGTCCCCACACTGATTTGTTTTGCATATTGTTGTACAGAAACAACTGAAAGAGACTTTGGAGAGCTATCGCCTGAGGAGGGATGACCACAACAACAATATTACCAGAGACAAAGGCAAGATGGATACCATAAAGGTACACTCCTCTAAGTCATGGGATAGCAGCACTTAACAGATAAGAATGCACGTCGCTCCCTAATGGCTGTTTGCAATATGTCGCTGTACATATTTAGTGGTGTTTGCGGATGTGGTAACTGACAGTATGTGCTTTGATATGTAAAACATAATGGTTTTGCGCTTGGGTGCATAAATGCCTTTCTAACCTTTGAATGAGGTGTGTGTCAACTATGCAGAGGAAATCCTCCTATACGGTCTAATTCTCACAGGATAATGATTCTGTCATAATTTTCATTTGGAGAAAGATCTGTGACGTTAAACCAATCACTTAACACTTTGCCTTAAGTTGCCTTAACAGTTGGCAAGACTGTTACATACATGAGAGACTGTGCAGACCAGAGGGAACAGAAACAAAAAAACATATTGTAGAATGTGTTTGAGACAGATGGAAGATAAGAGCTTGAGTTTAGTTGTGCATGCTGTGATGAGATAATGAACAGGAAATCCTTTCCTGCTTTAAGAGTCTGTAGTTGTTTGATACTTAGATCTTAGATGCTAAATGCAGCTTCATTATCCCTTGTGTATTTCTCTCTAGAGATATGTAGAATGTGTACGCAAATTATTTAGAGCTTCAATGGAACGAGCCACATGGCATCTTGGGTAACTCAATTTCTAACTGGTCAATGAAAATGTGGTACTACCTAGAAATTATCACATTATGTCCTCAAGCTGTAACAACAGTGATTCCTCCCCTCAGAGGTTCGGAGCAGATCTGCAGACTCGTGTCAAAGGGGAATTCAGAGCTCTCCATCAGATCCTGGACGATGAGGAGACATGTATGCTGGAGCAGCTAAGGAGAGAGCAGGAGGAGGAGCTTCAGAAGGTCGAGCGCCACCTGGAGGCCCTCAAGGTGGCCGTGAGGGAGCTGGAGGAGAATATGAGGATGCTCCAACAGGCTAGCGCTGCCACTGAGAACACAGTACTGACTGAGGTAAGGCCTTAGTAAGGACAAAAGGTTTAAATAAGAATCACATTTTGTCTGTCTCAAAGTAGATGTCAAGCTATGAATATATAGATTAAATCTAAACTTAAAATAAAAAAAGTGTGTCTTCTAATTTGACTTGTGACTTCTGCACTGATTTGAAACAACAGTTTTTAATGTGATTTTTTTTTTCTTAATTTCCCTCTGTAGCTACCACAGCTAAGGTAAGTGTTAATTTCAGTGTTATGACTGATTGATTGCTTTTGGCATTTTTGCACCTGTCATATGCTTATTTGATTTCTACCTCCATTTAGTGCCATTTATGCTGAGAATAAATGACCCTAACTAAATGTATGTTTGCCTTTCTTTTTTTTCCACAGACCATGTGTGCAGGTGGATGTTGCCCCAGAGTTTGATATAAATGCTTTCAGCAACAAATACATGGCCCCATTACAGTACATCACATGGAGAAAAATGTTCAAGTCTTTGAAGCCAGGTAATTTCCTCTATGATGTGCTTCATTAGACACAAAAAAGTTTCATCTGAAACTGGTTCTGCCTCGAGAATGGGAGTAATTATGGTGAAATTACTATGGAGAATTTACTCAGTTATTATTTAAAGATGTTAAAGTGGTATCAGAATGACAGTAATGACACCATTGTTCCACTGATAGGATATTTTTTCAATTTTAAATGTGAATTGTTTCATCCCAAAGGTCCTTCCCCATTAACATTTGATGTTGAGTCAGCGCACCCGAGCATTAGAGTGTCCAGGGACAAAACCGTGGCAGTCGAATGTGACGGCATGATATTGCACATGGACCACAACAAGCGTTTCCTCCAGTGTGTTAACATTCTGGCTGCCCAGGGCTTCCAGTCAGGCCGACACTACTGGGAGGTAGAGGTGGGCTCCAAGCCCAAATGGGACCTAGGCGTGGCCTCAGACGCCGTAGACAGACATTCGCGGATCAAGCTGAGTCCTGAAAGCGGATACTGGACTCTGCGACTCCGTAACAGGAATGAGTACTCAGCCGGCACCCAGCCCTGGACTAGGCTGCAGCTCAGCTCTTCCCCTGAGAGGCTCGGTGTCTTCCTAGACTGCGAGGAGAGGAGGGTGTCCTTTTATAACGCAGATGATATGAGCCTGCTCTACTCATTTGCCAATGGGCCGAGGGGCAAGGTGTTCCCCTTCTTCAGCCCTTGTATTAGTGGCAGCAGTCAAGAACCTCAGCCTATCAAACTCCTCCACTACCCACCTGTCGCTCTGTCTGGCTAACATGGCTGCAATCAATAAAAGCTTGTCAGTATATAAGAGCTGTTCATTCACTTATTGACCAAGCGTTGTAATTACCCAACTATTAAAAGACAGCGATGCCCTTGTTTGCATTATGGTGCCATATCGCCATACTGTTCTCTTATTATCCATGCTTTAATTACAGGATACCACCAGATGCTTCTATTCTCAATTTGAACTGAACCTTAAGGGCCTTGAAATGTTATGAAAATTGCAATGCTCACCATATAAAAAATTCCATCATGCTGTAATCATTCTGAAGGGGCTCAATCAGTTTCCAGGAGCAATCAGCAGAAACCCATTAAAAAACCCAGTATTTAACCATTTTGGCTTCAATATAGCGGAGCTCAGGTGCCTGTAATTACATTCCTACTTAAGTCCTACTGGCTATACACTGTTCAACCAAGTATCTGTTATAGATGTAGATAGCTGACTTTTCAATCATCTGAGTAATTCTCTCATTAAGCCAGACTGTCTGTAGGTTTACTTGTAAAAGGATTTTTGAATCACACTTGAGTTTAATCAGCAAGGGTTTTTTTTTATTACTTTGGATTTTGTGTCTGATTAAATGGTCCTTCATGCTTTATACATTTTATTTTAGATTTTTTTGTGATTACACAGATGTAACTTTACTGCACCTTATGAGTTCTGTAGCTGACTGTAGCAGCTTCTGTTGATTTGTCATGATTTGTATGTTCATTTATAATATATGTGCCTAAACTAGAACACGTGGTATAATGCACTTGATTGTTAAATTGTTAAGACTGAAGGAAATACTAAGATGCAGTATATTCTATATTGTTATGTCAATTACATGCTCTATCATTTACTGATTAAAAACAAAACAATTACTGTAAAAAAAAAATGCTGATGTAGATAATAAATGAAATTTTCTTTCTTAAAAAAACAGTCTTTGGTTCACTCTGCAGCTGTGACACTGCACACTTCCATGACCTCACTTGAAATAATCGAGGATGTTATTAAGCATCATCAAAGCAGAACACACAATTATGAACGCCATAGTTGATGGGAATCCAAAGCCATTTAACAAGAGCTACAGCGTAGGGTTGTTGACTCCTCTGCACCTGGACTGGAAACTTTTGAATACATGAGCCATCGCTGACACTTAAACAGCAAGAATAGGCGGGCTCTTGGTTATCTTCACAAACACACAAGAGCACTGACGTCCTGTTTCCTGCTGTCAGGTGAAAGGTCAGATAAACAGAGTGACAGTGGTGATGCCTCCGGACTGCTCAATGGGCCTCCGGGGCATGCTGAAGCAGGATGCTGCTGCCTCCTCTGCTGATTGGAAAAGTGGCACAATGAATTCCACCAGAGGGGGACCCATGCTCTTCCAGCACAGTGGCTACATGGGCATGGGTGCACAACAAATCGCACACTATATGACACACATATCACACACTAGACAGTCACTCAGAATGAAGTCAACTCAAGCTCCTGAATTATTGTATATGAAGAGATTATTATTCTCTCTTATACTCTGACTGGAATTGTGCTTTTTGCTTTAAAAAGTGACATTTTATTATACATTATATACATTTTTTATTTTAATGAGGTAAAAATTGAATGTGGTAGATAGCTGCATGAAAGACATTAAAAGTTAAAGCTGCACTAATCAATGTTTTAATATGAACAAGTGAAAAAAAATCACTGACTGTACAATGAGAATAGTTGCTTCTAGTGGTGAATCCATAAAGAATAATCCCCCAACTTTTCCTATTAGCCTCTTTTAGCTAATTGCCCATGCCCATGAATAAAGTGGAGCATTTAGCAGCTAAAGAGACATTTCCATCAGGAGTTGATCGAGAGCAAAAGGGGAGAGAAAACCAACTTCAAATAAATATTATTTTTCTGTATCTGCTCGATGTTTAACTAGGCAACTGTTTGCTAAACGTTCACTTAATCAACTTTATAAAGAGAAAATATGAAACGTTGTGTTTACTGCTTGTTTTGCTGCCTCCAAGTGCCCAGAAAATCAATTAAAGTGGGTTTAAGATAGAACTTCTAGATAAATGATGAGACTCAAACTCCAGGTACCATTTGCTTTGAGCTGCAAAGATTAATCTTCATACACAATGCATTAGCTTCATGGCTAATTAGTTGGTAAATAATTTACATGCAAGCATGCTGCTGTCCTGCTCCTTCATCTAGGCAGGGAGACTGCCATAACTGTTGACTGTTAACCATCGTGACCTACAACTGATGTGAAATTTTGGCTGCCACATCAAAACAAAACAAAAAAGCCCTCTTGAACAGTGACAGCTACTTCAAAGTAGTTTGGCACAGTGCTTTTGTAGTGCACGGGCCCATGAGTGGGAACTTCGGCGAGAGGGTGCGTAGCTTGCATGCGTGCTCCACATCCTTCCTATGAAGGTACCCGTGGATCTGTAATGTGTTTCCTGTTCTGAGGATGGGCCGGATAGAGTGCTGGCACTTCAAGGACGGGTCCTTGAATCCTCAGTTGTCTCTAAGGAGCCAGCAGGATTATAAACTCAAACCTTTTCATCTGACGCAGCAGGGGCGATCATGCTATCCTGCATAAGGGCTATTGTTTGTTATCACTGTTGTCTGAATGCTTATGTGTGCAGTTTATTATTATATTAGCCACTCAAGTGTTTTCATGTGTTTATGACATTATCTGTTTTATATTTGTAATGAGATTTGATAACTCCCAGGACAAAGCTTTGTTAGACTATCAGCACGATTTAGTGTGTTTATTTTCCTCTGAAGCCGAGGGCGCTGTGGGGCTGACACCAGGGGAACATTTTAATTACAACCATTCAATCACAACATTGTGTTTTAAGGTCAGAGAGGTGGATTGCTGTAAGGGATATGGGGGGGGGGGGACGACACATGCCCACAATAACACAAAATGATCCTCTGACTCCCTGTTATTCCACAAACGCCTGACGTTAGGTTCACCGAGAATAACAACATAATCATATTGAGAAAAAATATTTTTTCTCATACGTCTTATCAACAGCTGCTGTTTGATGGGTGGACGGGCTTTCAGCACTTCTGAAGGCAAAGTTTTTATTATCGCTGTAATGAATTTCCAAGTGGAGATTCAGCATGCTATTGATTTCACGTCACACTCCTGGTGCTGGAAAGCAGAGGTGTCTGGGAGTGATTACGTTGACTTGAAATGGGCATGCTGGTTCTTCTGTGGCTCCGTCACAGGTCTGATTGGAGGTCCCGTCGAAACTGCAGATACTGCAGACAGTTAACGAATGAAAAACACACCTTTACTCAAAACTTTGTCCGTGTGTGTGTGTGTGTGTGTGTGTGTGTGTGTGTGTGTGCAATCATCTGAGTGCACACACCTTGTACCCTTTTTGGCTTTTCACTTCTGATTGTATATGGTACATGAGTTTTCAATTTTCCAAATCCCTCCCTGTAAAATAAAACAGTTCTGATAGCAGCTCACCATCGGCATGTTGTGCTCTTAGTACATGATTTTCATTCACACTCTGAGGACTCCCTGAGGAGCATGGTTACATAGACAGATGTGGGGGCGGAGGGGATGAACAGGACTTGGACAAGGCTGGAAAAACTCAGCACAGTTTAGTTTTATTTTGGAGGCATCACTACATCTAACCTTTGCAAGAATAATTACAGACTCTTAGAGAGCTACTCCCGGGGGCACCTCTGCTCGGTTTGTTGAACATCTAGAAGAATTTGTGTTCCTAAGCACACAGGATAACTTTTCTACCTCTAATTAATAGCAAATATTTGAACTGAACAGATAAAATTGCACTGACATATTACTTTGCAGACGAAATACAGCTGACTAGAGGTAATATTCTTCTAATATTCCTCTGGAGTCTGAGTGTCTTTGCTCTTTATGTGGTACCTGTTTGCTTCCTGAGATGACACAGCTTTATTCCTGCGCTGGGTTTCATAAATCTTCTGATGATATTAGGATTACCTGCCGAGCTATTTGGATGTCAAGAGGCATTTAAACCCCATGAAATGAAAATCAATATGAAACAATTTTGCACTGACGCAACAGATGGAAATACCACAGCTTTTCTACAGCATCATAAATTCTCACATTATTGAATTTATTAAGTCCTCATTGTACTTTGTACTATCCTATATTATCTTATACTACCAATCAAAAGTGTTGCAACATCTCCATTTTTCCAGTTGGTACTGAAATTTACATAGTGTAATGTCTCAGTGTACTCTGAAATGAAAGCACAGAACAAATAAGCAATTTCAAAAGATTTAAAAAAAAACTGACTCATTCAGCAACACAAATGTGTTGCACTTGTTGCTTTTCTTTCACCTTGTGTCCAGTTCATTCAAAAGCAGCTCCATGGGGTTTAAGTATGGAGATGTGCTGCTCTTCCATCTTTCTTTGCTTCTAATGTTTTGGCTTTTAGGATGAACCCCTGACCAACCAGTCGGTCTTCCTTCGTTACTTGCCTTTTTCTCACCATTCAGTCAGCAGTTTATACAACTACGCCCTACAGGACAGTATTACCCTAATGTTGCATCGGAGGGTGTAGTAACACAGTTTGTTTCAACACTGCCTTTGTACACACAGAGGGGTTGTTAGTGATCTTCTAAAGTTGGGCACTTGTAGGAATTGCCTCCATTAACTTTCAGGGTTTCACTTATTCTCTTTGCTGCTGGAAAGCTGTAAAATTAACCAATTTCTTAATCCCTGAAAAGAACCTGTTTTCTACAAAAATGTAAATGATTATTCAGCCTTTGGTGTCCTGAACTCTTTTTCTACCTCAGGCAGTTTACTGCTCCTGCCATGTAAAGTTATTTAGTGGACTTGAGCTGCTGTACCTTAAATGAAAACTGAAAAAATAGGGGTGTTGTAACCTTTGGTAGAGGGCCTATAATATGATTACTATAGGTCTTTAACGCAGAGGATAAAACGAATGGGATCTTGCAGGAAGGAAATTTGTCATGGGTGTTAGGGGGGGTCCCCCTCCCCAACACACGCTGACACACACCCCACACCCACCAACACACACACCCCTCCAATCCAGCTTGTTTTATGAAGTGAATGGATGGGTGTGCATGCGCTCCGGTCACGACCAAAGGAAAGGGAAATCATTGTAAATCCCATTCAGCGCCGTATGCATCGTTTTGACAAAAAAAGACGTTTTTTTCCCTTTTCCTCAGCATTTCGCCCCCGTCCTCCCTGTGAGCAGAGTACAGACAGGCATCGATTGACCGACATTCACCTGGGTTTTTCCCCCATCCGCGGACAGTCATTCAAACCACCTCTCCACTGTCTCCACCGGAGTTAAAACTAACACATTTTTTTAAATCAGATACATCGCTCAAGCTTTCTGCGCTTCTGGACCGGAGATCTGGAGATGAAGACAGATTTTACGTTTTTCTGTCGGACTTGGATTGGAATAGCATATGCCTCAGGTGAGGAGACTTTTACAGCGAGTCTGAAAGTTTTGAGCGCACAGGTTTTTATGAAGGGAGAGGTCGAGCTGACTGTTTGCACTGACTTGAAGTAAATAATTGATCCGTGGTTGATTGAGCTTTTATTTTTAGAGGCTCAAAGTTTTATTCATGTTAAGCCGAGGTCTTTAACTGAAGCTGGGTGGATACTGAACTTTGACGTTTCAGAATTTTACGTGCTTGTTTTCAAATTGTGTTTTATTAGGATTGGGATATTTCTTATGGAGTCACTGGAGTGCCATAAAAAATAATAAATCTATAAAAGAATAAGAAAAATGTATTCGGAATATAAACAGGAGTAAATTAAAGTAAATAAGGAGGCTAAGCACAAAAATGTGGAAATATAAACAGAAATAAATAAAAGAATTTTAAGAATGCCTTGACCTATTTCTTTGGCTTTTATCCTATTCATTGCGTT